CCTGGTGGGCGACCAAAGTCTCTATGGTCCCTCCTTGCCAAGGGTGTCATTGCAGGATTGCAATAGTACTAGTCTCGAGCAGCACGATTTATAACAGGAGTTAACTGCTTACTAATTAGCAGCTGGAACCATTAATTGGCTATTTGTTAGAGCCGGAATTAATAAACTGGTCTTTCAGCAGGGTCATAACTCTCCTCGTTCCTCACCCCTCCCAGCCAGCCCTCTCTTACCTGACCAGAAAGTGGCTTGCCCCTAAGACTGAATCAATACCTCCCACTGCACGATTTTGCAAGACAGTTTCCCTTGCACAGTGATGACGCTCTCTCCTCGCAAAGACTCTTGTGCTGTCTCTCCCGCTTTTTTCTTCCAGGCTCTGACTTGCTAGAAGCCAGTGATCGAAAGGCAGGAGGAGATGGGGGAACTTTCTAGTAACACACTCTCACAACAGAAGCCCGAAGTTGCGCTGCCTGACGGAGGTCTGGGGCTCCTGGTTGTCTGGCCTCTCATGCACGCCCTCAGTCAGCAGCTACTTAGTCCTCCTGGAGCCCACAGGCTGGGCTTTCTCCAGGGCAAAATGATGGCGTTTTTCTTAGAATGTCACGAGCGGAACCCAAGAGTTGGCAGTGGGTGTTGACCACTAGGCCTCCAGGTGGCTTCAGTCTCAACTTGTGCCCAGTGGCCTCCTTCACTGTTGCCTCGAGTCCAGTGGTCTAGCTTTCATGCCCCACCCCCAAGAGCCCAATCTGGGGCTCAGAAGAATTGTTCTCTATTCCAGAAGAGAATAGGAACACTTCTTGTGAAAATATTTACTCAACACCCAGGAAAGAGCAAGCCTGCAGAGTCCACTTCAGCCACTTAGCAGCTGTGTGAATCACTAAATCTCTTTGTGCTATTCTACGAGAACAACAGTCCTGTCTCACATAGTTGATGTGAGGATTCAACAGTCAGTGCACATGAAGGGCTTAGAACTGTGCTTGGCATGTGGTGTCAGCCATTACTATTATTACTTGTTTCTCTCAACCACTCTGTGAAATTTGGATCCTACTCACTTTACAGCTGGGGAAACTAAGGCCTAGAGAGATTAGGACTGGCGCTCCGGACCCATGGCTCCCAAGCCAACTGTTCCTTTCCTTCTCCTGTTTGCTTCTCATTGTCAGACCCAGGGCTTTGTCAGAGGCAGGCACACCTAGGGGAGGAGATGACTGAATTTATAGGCACAGACAAGTAGGCTGTCAAGGTATTTACACTGCATACAATTAGCTGCTGAGTATTCACAGTGGATTAGCTACAGCAAATGTTCAATCCCAGCCAGGGTAGAATTCAGTCCTCTTCTCTCCCTTCCTTTCTGTCCCTCCCCCATCATGAGTCTTCTCTCTCCTCCAGGCCAGGTTAGGTGTTCAGAGACAGTAAACTCAAGAGATGGTTAGCTGAGTCAGTGGGGTTCCTTGTCCACCAATAATGCATCCCAAAGCCAAAAAGGAGCAATTAACTGCTATTTGGGTTTGGCTAACTGAAAAATAAATAAGGCAGTTTCCCATGACACGGACAAGTGCCCATTCAACTTAAAATAGGCAAAGCCAAGGAGGGCAGGAATCACTGTGATCACTCCTTGAGAGCTTCCTGGAGGAGGTGACGATTTTCAAATAATGGGAAGAGGATGATAATAAAAGAAGGTACCTATCATCACACTCTCAGTTGGTACCACTTCCTTTCAGACTGCGTAGGGAAGGTGGGTGGGAAGATACAGAACCTGATAACTCTGTATGCCTTTGGGGGGCAGAAAATGGATTTTTCTCTTTGGTTGGGGGTAGTGGGGAGTAGAAAAGATGGCGGCCTTGAGGGTATCCTAGGTCGGTGGTCTGTGGTCTCTGATGGGAATCATTCACTGGTTCATTTAACAGATCTTCAGCTGGCATCTGCTGGGTGCCCAGCATTAAGTGGGTCTGGTTTCCCTTATTCAGCCATAGACCCACAGGAAAGGAAGGAGAGGAAAAAAAGGAGAGGATGAAGGAGGTTCAGTCAAGGAGAGGTGGGCTGCAGAATAAGATTCTTCCGATGAAAGATTATGACAAAGAATATATGTATAATTGAATCAGTTTGCTGTCCAATAGAAATTAACACAACACTGTAAATCAACTATATATCAATAAAATAGGGGGAAAAAAATTCTTCCGATGGTCTCAGACTTCCTGAGATGGACAGAAGGAAACCGAGGAGGTGGGCACACTTGCCCCTCCCTTCCTAGGCTGCCTGGAATTTCTCCAGAGGCCTGAGTCCTGCTGTCACACCCCTGAAGTCAGGGGCAGGTACTCCAGTGAGAGGCAGGAGAGGAGGGACCCAGCAGGAAATTGGTCTGGGAAAGGGGGTGACTTATCCTTTAATTATTTTAAAATTTTGTTTTAATTTACATGCTGAAAAATTAAGTCTTTAATATGTTCTTTCAGTTTTGACAAATGCGTCGAGTCGTGGACCCCCATCACAGCCAGGATATTAAACAGGTCCGGGGAGTGGGGGTGGGGTGGGGAGAAAGGTTTGTAATCTCGCCTCTTGCTAGTTGCGGTTTTCCGCGCTCCCACGGGTTGCCCTAACACAATCCTTGCGCACACGCCGAGATAAATAACGGCGACAGGTGGAGCAGGTGAGATTAGCCAGACCCGGGGAGGGGAAAGCGATCGGAGGTGCGGGGGAGGCCTCCCGCCTCGCTTGCTCGCCTTTGCCTCTCCCTGCCCGCGTTTGGGAGGCGCGCTCTTCCCACCCCTGCTCCCGGAGGGCGGGTTTGAAGTAGTGGAGTTCGGGAGTGCGGGGACCACGTAGCGGGAGCCGGCCCCTGGCTAGGCTGCCGGAAGAGAGGGAGCGCCTGGGGCGCTTGGGGGCGCCTGAGGTCCTGAGCGGAGGCAGGATGGGGAGAAGGACGAGCTGCTGAGAACGGGGGTAGCTGGGGGAATTTCAGCTGCGGGGTCCGGCGGACAGACCTGTTGGCAACCTGTGGGCCGCGCGCGGCGAGGGCTGGAGCTCTGATCGCGCCCTCTTCGCCCCGGGTCTCAGCCTGCGGCTCCCGCGGCGGCCCCCGCGCCGGACGCGGGGAGAGGCGGCGGCTGCCTGGAAAGGGGCGGGGCTCGGCCGGGGGCGGAGGGACTCCAGGGCCACGCAGACCGCCCTGCAGACCCACACGGCGGGCGACCGCCTCGCGCGCCTGCAGGACCCCGAGAGCCGCGGGCGCCCCGGCTTTTCCCCTTCGACCCCCGCTTCGGTCCCGCTCCCCAAAAGTGCAAACATTTTACAAAGTGTGCCCTGCCCCGCGGGCTAGGTTAGAGTCCCCGGGACGAACGGCCGTGCTTGTCCAGCGAGAGGACTGGGATCCGTGCCCCCGGCTCGAGCAGCGGGTCTGGGTGTGTGAGGGAGGGCAGGCGGAGAGCGAGCGCGAGCGCGCTGCAGAGCCCGCGCCGAAACCCACGTCCCTTCGCCACTGTCCTCGGGATAGATGGATCCATTTCTGCTTTCTGACATTTTCCTGCTGGGGGGATGGGGGGGCGGGGAGAGGGAGAGAAGGGGGGAAGGGCAGGAAGGGGTGGGGGGAGAGAGAGGGAGAGGGAGAGAGGCAGAAAGACAGTCAGCTTCCCCCAGTCCTGTTTTGTTTTCTCTAATTGGTCCTGGGGGAGGCGAGGAAATTGGACAGAGGCTGGGCCCGGCGAGCTGGGCTGCCTTTAATTGGCTCCTTTTTTTAACTGGAGGGGAATCAAACAGGAGAGCGAGCGACAAAGGGTGGGAGAGCGAGAGACCGAACGAGGAGCCGCGAGGAGGAGGGGAGGGAGAGGAGGGAGGAGGTGGGGGCAGGCCGGGGGAGGCGGGGTGGGGGGGGGAGCGCGGAATGAAAAGCTCGGGGTGGGGGGTGGAAAGCTGCACAGCGAAGCCCAAGTTGCCGAGCGAGCCGAGAGCTCCTACGGCCCGGAGCCCCGCGGCCGCCGCGCCCGGGAGCCCGGTCCGGCCCGGCCCCGCCTGCTTTGGGCCGCCGCCGGCAGAGGCCGCCGGGCGGGGGCGGGGACGACCAACTTGGGGCGCGGCGCAGCCCCGCTCTCCCGAGAGCTCCGAGCCCGGGTGCGCCACCGCCGCGACCAGACGGCGGGAGCGGAGCGCAGCGAGCGGAGGCGGCGAGCGGCTCCAGCGCCGCAGCCCCGGCCTCGGCGAGAGCGCGAATATTTTTCAAACGACTCAAACTTTCCTTCTTTCCCCGCGTTCTGGGGCCTCTCTTGGATGGAATTGTTCCCCTGATTCCCGCGGGGCGCTGGGGCGCGATTCCTCCCCTGGGTTCCTCCGCGGCTCGGCTAACTTCGCGGAGCCGGGGACCCGTGGCTCTCGCCCCTCCGCGGAGCCCAGCCGGCGTTTCTCCCTGGGTCTGGAGGCCCAGAGTAGGGGCTTTTCGCCTCCGAGAGGACGCGCAGCCCGGCCCCCTTGGCTCGGGCCATTGAGCCCCCAGCACCGGCCGCAGAACTGGAGATAGCGGATTAACCCGATCTGAGCCCCGGCCTCCCCGCCCCCGCTCCACGGAGGGGCGTCCCCTGGGCGGGGAGACGACAAGTTTGTCAGTCGTCGGTGGCCTGTTGGATCCAAGCACCTCCGCCTCCGCGGAGGGGTCCCTGGAACCCAGAACCCCAAGCGGACAGCCCTGGGGACCCGGAGAGGCTCGGCGGCCGGGCTCCTCGGGCCGGGGCGCTGGCTGCTGCGCCGGGCGCGCCGAGGCACCCGGGGCCAGGCCAGCGCCCCCTGTGTCCCCACGCGGGCAGCGGCCCCGCCGGAGGAGAAAGCCGGATCGCTGCCGCCGCCGCCGCCGCCGCCGCCACCGCCTCCTCAGTCTGCTGGTCACCGCCGCCGCCGCCGCCGCCCCCTCCGTCGCCTCTCGGGGAAGGGGAAGACGCAAGGGGCACGGAGGGGCCCCGGCGGATGCGCCCCCCACTGCCTCTCGGGCTGCGCCGCCTCGCGGGGATGAAGAACGGGCCGTGAAGATGGAGGTGACCTGCCTTCTACTTCTGGCGCTGATCCCCTTCCACTGCCGGGGACAAGGAGTCTACGGTAAGAGCCCGCGTCCCGCTGTAAGCCCGTTCAGCCCCGCGCGGAAACTTTGCAAGAGGCGCAAAGTGCGCGCTGCCCGGGTTTGGTGGGTACCCCGGCTCAGACTCTGGAGTGGATGCCCCGGTCCCCGCCCTTTTCCAGAACGCGAGGAAATCGAGCTAGCTGCTTCAGCGCACGGAGGCAGGTCGTGGGGTCTGGCGTTAAGCTGGGGATGCCAGGAGGAGGTAGTACACACTTTCCCAAACCCTGCCAGGGGCGGGAATGAATCGGAAGCCTTGAGAGCATCCAGCTGGCCCGAGAGACCCTGACAGACCGCACAGTGGGGACTGAGAAAGCGAGTTGCACCGAAATCTCGTTCCACCCTAACTCGGCCTCTGGAGTGGAAGCCAAGCCTGCACGATCTGGAGTTGCGCGCGGCTTGCGGGCGAGCTGGCTGCCAGCTCCGCGACCCGGCGGCGGGCTCGCCTTCCCAGGTCTCTCGGGAGGCTTCGCTTCTTGACAGCCCAAGCAGATGCAGGCATCCCCTAGATCCGGCTCCCAAGAAGCCAGGATCCTTTCTCGGACCTCTCCTGAGCTGGTTAGTTCTTCCTGTCCCCAGCTACAAACCCCCAGCTCCACCTTCCTTCTCCCTGCGCGCACGCAGACATTCAACCACGGTCCCCGGGAAAGCAAACACGGCACGCGCCCGTCAGGTGACGTGTCCAAACTCTGCCTCCTGCCCACGCAGCTTTGCTCCCGCGTCCGCACGCCCGGCTCTCAGGCGCCAAGGGAACTCTGGTTACCCGCTTCTCCCTTCTCTCTCATGGGTTTTCCGGGGGAAAGATCCTGCGAGCCAGCATCATCCGTTCAGGGTCACAAGGGCTCATCCCTCTGAGGAAGCCTCCGTCTTGAGTTCTAGCAGCCGGTAATGCCCTGACCCACAGCACAAAAAGTCTTTGGGGCCCGGTGGCCCTTACGTACCTTCTGACTGCAGGGTGGTCTGTGTGGGTCACTTTTTTAATGCGGTGTCGCTGGAGTGGGGACGATTCTGTTTCTTTAGGGTGGACGACCTGACTATTCACCTCTAAATCAGGAGAGGGTTTGAGCTGTTCTGGGGAGGGGTTGGGAGCTGAGGTATTGTCCCCTCAGTTGCCATCCTCAAGTGCAGATGCTAAATGCCTCTTTCTGGGAATGCCTGGCAAGAGGGAAGGGTGTCCTGGGTGGGTGGTGGTATCTGTGAGGTGACATCCTTCTGGCCCTACACAGCTAGCTAGCTTGGGTTTAATTCCCCCGGGAGGCTGGCTCAGGCATCTGGCCAAACTCTGCTTCTTAATTAGTTTGTGTGTTTCTTGCTGCCTGGCCCTCTGCATAGGCCAGAAAGGGCAAGAAGGGAGAAGAATGCAGCAGGGACTGAGGGGCTGGGCTGTGGAGAGGAGGCCCCTGAGCCGGCTCCCGAGGCCTCGGCCTCCCCGGGGCAGGGGAAGATACCCGGTGTACTGAACGGGTCCTGTTTCTTTTTTTCTCCTCGAGATTTCCCTGCAACTTCACTGCCTCCTTAAGAGGTGACCTCAGGAGGGCCCAGCTGAGGCCTCTGCCTTCTCACCACACCCCAGGGGCTCTGGAGAGTGATGGGGAGCCCTCGTCTCTGCTGCTGTCCTCCGCGCTGCTCTTCCCTCTCAGGCCCTTGGGCAGATCTGGCAGGCTCATCTCCTGGCCATCCGTCTCCTCCATCCCCTCTAGCTTCTTCACCCTTCTCCAGGGCTGCTTGGGACCCATCTCCAAGAGACTCCCATGAGCCTAGCCTGGAAACCCAGCCATGAGGGCAAGGGGTGGGGCAGTGGTCTCTGTGGACCCTGACTCACAGAACTCTGGGGCCAGGATTTAGCCATTGCCTTATAAGTCCCCCTTCCACTGTATTTTCTCCACCCCCTCATGTGCCTGGGTTCTAGCTGCTCTCAGAGCAAATCAAGGTGGGCTTGGCGCAGTGGGGCCAACCTGGAGCTCTTGGGTGACATTCTTTCCACTTGCCCTTTGAGAGTTTGCCTCCAAGGAAGTCTGGGGCCTCTGGGGAACTGCAGGGTGGAAAGCCTTAATCGGGGTGGATGGAGAGAATGGAAGATCTAGTGTGAGGAGAAGGATGGCAAGAGACTGTGATGCTAGAAATTTGGCTAGCTCTAGCAGAAGGGAGAACTACTCTATCACTGGGTCTGGGTTAAGAAACAGTATGGAGAGCTAGTTCTTCTGCGCCCCACCTCCCACTCCAAAGCAGGTGAGAAAAGAGTAAAAGTGTGGGGGTGAGAGATGGCCACTCATGCCCACCCATCACTGTATGTCGGCACCCAGCATGGTGCCTGGCACGGGCAAATATTTGTTGCGTGAATGAAGGGCCATTGTTGGGAGGAAGTTGAAGAAACGCTTCTTGAAATTCTTTCTCCCCTAGAAGTCCGTCCAGGATGGTTTTCAGCAGGGTAGTGGGGGCTCTTTGAGAATCTCTGCTTAGGGCGAGTCATGGAGTCCTAGGCTGGCAGCCGGAGGGCACCTTAACTGCCGTGGCAGTGAGCGGGGAGGCAGAAGCTTTTACTCAAGGCACAGAAGATAAAAGTGTGCCTGGGCAAGGCAGTCCCTGCATCTTCCCAGCCTGTGTGGCTAAGGGAGTGGCAGATTAACATGGAAACTGAACTGAGAAGGAGGAAGAACAGGACGTGGAGGGTAAAGCCATCAGGATCTTGCCTGGGCCGCGGCTCTCTGCGGAGGCTGGTAGGAAGAAGGTGCCCGGCTCCCCTCTGAGTGTCCACTTGTTGGTTCTGAGGTCCACTGTCCACGGTAGGGTTGGGGAGGTGCTCTTTGTCAGCCAGGTGGCTTTGCTCTTGGGAGCACAGATGCTCCGGCAGCTGAGGACTGGAGCAGATGGTCCGTTTGGAGCTGGTCTCCTCTTCCCTCCCGCCTCCCAATCTCCTGGGCCAGTTTGTTGTGCTCTGGGGTGGATCTTGTAATCTGCTTTCTGGCATGCCAGGGGGAGGTGGACTGGCCACAGAGACCTCGTTTTGGGGCAAAGACAGTAGCCAGGGGATGGAGGAGAAATGTCCTGTGTGTGGTTAGCATCAGAGAACACCCTCTCCTCCACCCTGGCTTCCTCTCTTCCTCCCATAGCCGCTGGACTTCCAGCCAGCAGCAGGTCAGTGGGACTCCTCTCCCTTTCAAAAACACAACAAACCCCTGGATTATTTAATATGCAGGAGTGGGAATTGACATTATCCTTAAGACAGGTTGTTTGCAACTTACTGGTGGAAGTCAAAATATTTCACTAAAGGTGTCATCAGAAACTACTATCCTATGCTAATTTTTGTGGGAACATGAAGACAGATGTTGAATAATTTGACAAGAGCAACATAGCTTACAGAATTATCACCAAGTCAGGTTTTTTCCCCTCCTCCGAGGGGTGGGGAGAGGGAATTTGAGGAGGTGCGTCTCCCAGTGCCATCTTCTGGGTGTTGATCTGGGTGTGGGCACCCTTGGGAATTTTCACTGACATTTCTACCCCATGCCTTGAAACTGGCTGCCTGCTGGTGAAGGAAGTCATAGCATATGAAAGCTCTGGCCTCCCAGGGCAAGCAGAAGGCTTGGGGTTTTCTAAGTGTCCTCGAGAAGGTCCCTGCCTCTTGTCCCTTCTTCCTTCTCAGTGATGGAAACTACACAAGGGAGAAACAGGACCTTGTGTTCACAAATCCAGGTTTTGTTTGCTTTGTCAGCATTATCTGCACCCCCCCCCAACTCCCACCCCCCAAGTTTAAGTTGGCCCCTCAGCTAGTCTGAGGGCTCCCAGGCCTCATTTCAGGCAGGAGAGTTCCCCCCTTCAGGTCAAGATCCACATGACGTCCCACCCTATGCTGCAGGCTGCAGATTTGTGCTTCCTGCCTGGAAGGGGGCTCTGGGAAATGGGGGTGGTTAGAGAGGAGGAGTTTGTTTATCGGCCAGGAAAGCACCTCTTCGAGGGGCTGGCTGCGGACATGCCGAGAGCCTCCTTGTAATTGGCCAGACCTGACTGTGAGCTGCTGGGGCCAGGGTGGCAAAGCCTCATTTAGAGCCTGGTATTAGCTCTGCTTTGCTGGAACATGGAGGGACGGGCGGGGGGCTCCATAGGGAGAATGGAGGGAGCTAATCACAGCCGCCAAGGCCGGCAAATGAATGATGCAGGAAATCAATACCTGGGGGCGGGAGTGGAAATCCGGGCAGTGGTAGCGGCCACCACTTCTCCCCAGCTGCCCAGGAGGCACGGGCTGGCCTGGGAGGAGTGAGACAGCCAGGAGTGTGAGGCCCTCCTCTCCCCCATATCCTCCCCCACTCCCACCCCGCTCCCTTCCGTCTTCCTCTTCCCTGCTCTTACCTGTTATCTCCTGGTGGCTGGGTTCACGGAGGTTGGGCCAGGAGATTCCCCATCAGGCAAAAACACGGAACCTGGGAGCTGGGACCTTGGGTCGCTCAGTCCTGGATGAGCCCTCCCGGACTCCGACCTGCCTCTGGACTCTGGGGCCTGAGAAGGGCCCAGGGGCCTGGGGACCCTGCCCTGTGCCACTGACTCTGCCGCTCCAGATGTGGCCAGCAGGGGGCGGGCTTGGCCATCACATGGCTTCTTGCCTTTCCTGGGCTCCCTTGGCCTCAAGCCTCCCAGTAGGATGCGAGTTATTCTAATTACTGAGCCTGGGGCCCATGGGGGCTCCGTAGGGCCCTCTGAAGCTCCAGACTCCCCGCACTAGCTCCCGTGTTCCCACCCTAGCATCCAGGGCATTTGCCCATGGTCAGAGCCACACGTCCGACACCCTGGATTGGAGGAGAGCTTCCTGGTGGGGCTTGGCTGGGTTGGTTCCTGGCCTGTGGGGCTGCGTGCAGAGTAGGGGCTCATGCTCTGGCAGAGCTGCCTTTTTGAGAACTGGATATGGCCCCCTCTTCTGCATCTTCCTCCCCACAGTCAGAAGACCCTGCTGTGCACTGCTACTAGGTGTTAAAGGGCCCCTGTTGCATTT